ACTTAGAGATGTATCCATATTTTCTTTTTGTAATTCTATTTTGGGGGCTTAAGTAATCCTTTCCTTAACACTTAACCATAAACAAGACCAATGTGCTGCACAACTTCAGGGGGCGCTAATTAATATACATTACAGCATGAATGGTGACCCCTGGAGTTGTGTAATGCAGCAGTCCTATTTTTCTTCTAATAACTTTAAAGATGAACTTTACACATTAAATCCTTAATCTGTGTGGAATTTATTATGTGTATATAATAAGGATCTATCTCATTTCTTTGGTTTCTATATAGAGTTTTTCCATTGCTACTTATTAAATAGTTCATACTTTCTCCAATAATTTTTAATTCCTATCTCTGAGTTCTCTATTCTGTCCCACTATAAACTAAATGGCTTTTCTTCCATCAATATCACACAGTTACTTATTGCTAATGCTTCTTAAGTATGCCACTTGGCAGGATCAATCTTCTGTGGTAGAGACTGTTGTTTGCCAAGTTTTCTTTTTCTCTAGAAACTTACCTATACTAAAAATTTTCAGCCATTTTTTTAGAAGTTTATTTATTCATGTTGAGAGAGAGAGAGAGGGACAGAGAGGGAGACAGAGAGAGAAACTTCCAAGTAGGCTCTGCACCGTCAGCACAGGGCCTGACGTGGGCTTGCTCTCACAAACTGTGAGATCATAATCTGAGCCAAAATCAAGAGCAGGTTGCTTAACCGACTGAGCCACGCAAGTGCCCCTAAAAATTTTTCAGTCGTGATTGAAGTTAAATTAGACCAATGAAATGTTGATGGAAAGCAATATTTGCCACTTCCAGACCTGGTTCTTAAAAATCTCCCTTGAGATTCTCCATGCCCTCTCCCTATAACCTCTTCTTCTGGCTGGATGTAGGAGATCCAGTGGAGGACTCTGAGGTCCTATGGGATGATGGAGCCACTAGACAGAGGATCCTGCACTCCTGGAAGACTAAATGGAGCAGAATCATCCTCCCCCTTGCTCTTCTGCCACTATTATTGGACTGTGATATGCATGATGGATAAACGTTGTGTTAAGCCTCTGAAATACTGCAGTACTTGATGGTAGCAGTTAGCCCACCCTGCCTAATGGAACATTCCATTACATTCTTTTCAGAATCATCTTACCTGTTCTGGGCTTTTCTGTAGGACTTTTAGTTAGTTTATAAAGTTCTTCAGAGTCCTATGGAGATTGTAAAAGGAGTTATATTGTACTTATGGATAATTTGGGAAGAATTTTCATCTTTATAATTTTGGATATAACTACCATATGTCTATTTATTCTGGCCTTTCATGTCCAGATAAATTTTATAATTTTTCTCCAAAAAGATGTTAAACATCTTTTGTTTTTAGAACTTTGGAATGTATTGCTATTGTGAATATTTTTTTCTATTACATTTTGTAATATAACTGTTGTTTTAAAGCATCATTATTGATTGATCTTATGTTCAACAACTTTACTGAATCCTTTCTTAGTTGTAATAGTAGTAGCTTCCCTTAGATTTTCTATGTGAATAACGTATCACCTGATCACCTGCAAATAATGTAATATTTACTTTTTCTTTCCTGATTCTTATATCTCATTTATTTTACCTAATCTTGTTGCATTAGTTAAGACTGTCTTATTCTCTAAAAGTTTGTAGTTTTTCTTTTCATGTTTAAGTCTTTAATCCATCTGGACTTGATTTTTTTATTTAAAAAATATTTTTATTTGTTAAACAAAAAAATTGTTTTTTTAAATGTACATCCAAGTTAGTTAGCACATAGTGCAATAATGATTTCAAGAATAGAAACCAGTGGTTCATTCCAACAAGCGTCTTCCTTAATGCTCCTTGCCCATTTAGCCCTCCCCCCACTCACAACCCCTCCAGCAACCCTCTGTTTGTTTTCTATATTTAAGAGTCTCTTACGTTTTGTCCCCCTCTCTGTTTTTATATTAACTTTGTTTCCCTTCCTGTATGATCATGTTTTTTATCTTAAATTCCACATATGAATAAAGTCATATATTTGTCTTTCTCTGACTAATTTCGCTTAGCATAATACCCTCTAGTTCCATTCACATTATTGCAAATGGTCTGGACTTGATTTTTGTCTTCCAATATTCTAATAGGAAACTATAGATTTTGAATATTTATCTTATTCACCTTCTCAACTCTTACAGATTATTAAAACATGTAGTTTTCCTAGTTTGAGTAAACTACAACTCTTACAATTTCAATAGTATTTTAGTTTACTCAATGCTATTTTTCTAGACAGACAATTCCATCTAAAAATAATAATTTCTTTCTTATATTTATGCCTTATTTTTTTTTCCTGTTCTTTTGCATTGGCTATGACTTTTAGACATATGACTGGAATCTCTGTCTGCTTGGGCTGTCATACTAAAATACCATACACTTCGTGGCTTAACCAATGGAAGTTTATTTTTCATACTTCTAGAGGCTGGGGAGTCCAAGATCAAGTTGCTGGCCAATTTGGTTTCTGGTGAGAGCTCTCCTCCTGGCTTACAGGTGGCCACCTTTTGCTATGTCCTCATATAGTGGAGGGAAAGAGCTATGGTGTTTCTTCCTCTTCTTGTAAGGGCACTAGCCCTAGTAGATTAGATTTCCACCCTTATGATCTCATTTAACCTTTATCACAGGCCCTGTCTCGAAATAAAGTCACATCGAGGTTAGGGCCTCAACATACAAATTTTGGGGACACAAACATTCAATTCATAATAGATGGCATTTCCAAATCACTCTCAAGGGTATTTTTTTCTCATTTTGTCTTTTTATATGTTAGATTTTTAAATGTTTACCTTTTTATATATTTTAGGTAGAATTATAGGTTGTTCACATAAATGGAAGGCAGCTTAGGAACTAATTCATCATATCATCATTGTGTTTCAGTAGGAGTTACCAAATCTGAACCAGCACAGCTATGTGAATGAGCTACTTTTAAATACCTTCATCTGAATAATCTCAATTTTCTTTCTCTTAAGCTATTCTCCTTGATTGGAAATCCACACTACCTGCAAATGGAAATTGGACATAAATCACGGACAGAAAATTCTTATTCATCCTTACTAAAGACCAACATGTTGTAAATTTGCTTACTACATAAATTTCATGAAGAGTTGTCAAAATGAAGTCTTAGATTAGAAATAAACAGCCAAGTCTGTTTATAAGTATGCATGACTAAATCGATTGGATTTGAAAAGAATATAAAAAAAAAAAAAAAGAGTAGGGGAAGCAGATTATTAAAACATGTAGTTTTCCTAGTTTGAGTAAACTACAAAAATTGCTAGTCCCTTACACTTTTGGTGTCCTGGAAAAAGTCCAAGATCTAAAGCAAGAGTTTTTTGGACTGACTCCTGGCTCTGCTTACTTACTAAATTGTGGGTTCTTGGGCAGATCCGTTACAGTAGACCTCCATTTCCTCATTCGTAAACACCCTATAGCGTTTGGAATATGTGACACTGCCTTGGCAAACACCAGGCACTCAGCAAAGCGGTAGTCTTTATTACCCAAACGACATTTGCTTTCACATCCTTGACCTCAAAGTCAGTAAGCAACCAGGAGCAAAAAAATTACACCCCCGTGCTCCAAGTCACACCGGTCACGTTACCACACCTCTAAAAAGACCACTGAGGGTCCCTCTCGCGGGAAGCGGATGTGGCATTTTGAAACAGCTGAGGGCGACGCAGTGCGAAGGCAGGATTTCCGCCGCATCGGCTCGAGCGTCTGCGGGACGGAGAAACCGAACCGGAACAGGGAAGAACGCCAGCCTCCGAAGGGTATCCGGAAGCGCCGAAGAGAAGGGGGGCGGGCGGGGACTACATTTCCCACAACTCCACGGGGGCAGGGCGAGGGGCGGGCGTCGGGGACAATACCGGACGGGCCTTGCCGGGCAATGCCAAGGTAAATGCCGGCAGTGCGGCTCAGAGGGAAGAGTAATTTACCGTCTGCGCTTAGATTACTGCTAGTAACCCGCCTAACTCAACCCGAGCTCAGAAAGGCCCTGGCGATTTGAGGACTTCCGGGCCGCAAGACTCCATCTCCCAAATCCGTATTAGTCCTCCCCACGCTGGGCCTGGGGGCTATTCTAGGTGCCTGAGGTTGCAAGGCGTTACGGTAGACAGTTGAAGGCCCACGGTACCCGTTTTAGGGTTGACAATCCGTACTGGTTCCTCAATGCCCCCTCCCCCGACCCCTGCCTCCTATTAAATCGGGCTGAAGTTGGGCTATGCCCGGCTCCCAGGGACAAGATGTTAGTGGTGGTGCTGGGGAAGGTGCCCTCCCTTCCCCGGCCCAGGCTAGTGGCGGGCAATCTTCCCTACTCCTTTGGTTAGATTACTTTCGGACGTTCTTAGCTCCAGGCGGCTAAAGCTGTCAAAGTATTGCGGATCAAGTATTGCTAAACACTTTCATCCAAAATCTCTAATTCTTTCATCTACCCTTGAGGGTACTGTAAAATTGCCAAAGGAGAGGCTAAGTAACTTGCTCTAGGTCACAGAACTCGAATGGCAGAACATAATGTTCGCACAGAGCCTATCTGGATCTAAAGCCCTTTGCTTATGTCCCATCACCTTCTTCAAACCTTAACCTAAGAGGGCAGGAGGAGCTGTGGACGGTAGGGGTTTTTTTTGTCCAGCGGTACCGACGCTTTGGGCCCAGGCGAAGGGTCCAATCCCGCGTTCCCTGTGTGCTCCCACAGTCCCGCTGCACTGGCACAGACGCGGCGGTCCGGCCTGTTCAAAATAGCGAGGACCCGGCACATCTCACTTCTCTTCCTTGGCTTCTTCTCTGGCCCTACTCAGGGTACCGACTGCAGCGCGCGTCGTCTCCTCGGACGCGGCGAGTGGGTGGAGTCGGCTGCGCGGCAGCGGCGGCGGCAGCTAGTGGGTCCTTTAGTGGCTCTGGGGCGGGGCTCTGGGGAGGGCGCGGACGGACCCACGGACCCTGTCGGGATGGGGAGTGTGGCTGCTCCGCCAGGGTCCTGTGGGTGGGAGAGAGGCTCCGCGACCGCTGGTGGCCGGAGTCCCTCCGTGTTGTGCTAGAGATGCTTTTCCTCTCGGTGAGTTGTTTTTCTGTCTCCGCGGGGCCGGCTTCTCGGTCTAGGTCACGCCCCGGGGAGGAGGAAAGAGCTGGGCCACCTCGGTCTGTGTGGCCTGGATAGGGCAGGGCAACGGGGAATTGACCAGCTGCGTGGGCCTCCTCCCTTTGGGCATGTTGATCCGCGGCTGCGCTCCATGTTCCAGTTTCATGCAGGCTCTTGGGAAAGCTGGTGCTGCTGCTGCCTGATTCCAGCCGACAGATCTTGGGACCGGGACCTGGGCCGGCGCTGGCGGCTGGAGATGGCGGACACGAGATCCGTGCACGAAACCAGGTTTGAGGCGGCGGTGAAGGTGATCCAGAGTTTGCCGAAAAATGGTAAGTGCGCTGGGCCCCCTCTGAACAAGCCTCCTGCAGAGGCCCGAGGCCCCAGTTTCTTAACCTCGCTTCCTTTAACCTTATTTCTGCTTGTAGTCTTGCTTATTTAACCTACTTCGTTTCTGCGTTTAAAAGGAGTGTAGTTGAAGAAGTAAAGAATGTGAATTAATTACCTGCTCAATTTTCAAGAAAAAGACAAATACGTTATCCAGATTTTGAGTAGTTTTTGTTGAAAACAAAGTCTGCCACTTAATGACTGCGGATTTGGGTATGTTTAAAAACACACACACACAAAAACTGGGATGGGTAGTATGCCTGGTGTGCATACTCTTAAACTGTACTGTTTAAACCTTCCAAAAACTTTTGATGTGAAGGGAGAGAAAGGAAAGAACAGTAAATCATTTAATAAATACATATATACTTAGTACTTTTTTGTGTGTGCTATTTTCTTTACACTAGTGTTCTCTTTCTTATACTTATATTGGGCCTTCCTTGCAGTTTAGGAGAAAAGTCATTCCAGTTGTTCTTGTGTCATTTCTCAGGCTGTTTTCAAGATTTTTCTCTTTATGTTTGGTTTTCAGCAGTTTGACTGTGATGTGGCCAAGTGTGGTTTTCTTCAAATACACCGTGTTTAGAATTTACAGAGCTTTTTGAATTTGTAATTCTATGGGTTTGGACCAATATTAGGAAGTTTAAAGCCGTTATTCAAGTATTTTTTTCTGTGCAGAAGTTTGGGGAGGGGGACTTTTATCTTTTACTTCATGTCCTTCTGCATTATATGAATTATTTTTCACAATAAACTTGTATTTTTTTAATGTTGCATTTAAGCGCTGTTACTGTGCCAGAATGTAAAATTCACTGAATACTTCATTGATATATTATTATAGTATTTAATATATTCTACTTAATTGATTTTAATTAATCATCTGTTGGCTTCAAAATGAATATTCAACACCACTTAATAAAAATTCATAAAGTGCAGATTTAAAGGGTTTTGAAAGCAAATAGACAGAAAATAGTATTCCTTCTGTAATCTCAGACATCGACTTGGAGTTCATAGGAGGGGGTTGAAAGATAAGAGTGAATAAACAACATCTAAAAAAATAATATAGGAACTTATTTAGCTGTTGATTTTCTAACTGCCTGATTAAGAGAGTTTATAGAAAGGCATCACTGTAAGAGTTTTACATAAGTTGTATCTTTATCCTTTTTCTAAACCACACGTTTATAATTTTTTGAGAATTGTTAAAGGTAGAACTTGATGTCTCTTGTCTACTATCTTTGTTGATATATATTTTGTATTAAACCCATGTAAATATAAACTATTCACATAACATTTAAGAAGCTATCACAAGGTTAAGGTACCCTGGCAAATGGCCTGTGTTGGATGATATTCAGTGTACTGTTATCCCCTGAAATTAAATTGATATTAATTGAAGCTGGAAGTCTTATTATAATGAATTATTAAATCTTTTAATAATTGTACTCTTTAATTGGTATAGTCTGCCCTGGACTATTTTGCAAAGGGTGAGATCTGTTTTTTTGTTCCTTGTTGCTTAATCTTTATTTAAGGTCTGAGGTTATAATGAATCCTATAGCATCTATGTTTGGTTTGCCCTTGACCTTTACAAATTTAAATTCTTAGATAACATTTTAAATACACATGTCAAATATGTTATGCGTGAGCAAGCACCTTGAGGACAGATTATACTTTATCTAGTGTCTTACAGAGTATATTCAATACGTTAACAGTTTTTGCTGTAATCTATTCTAATGTATATTTCACTCACCTTAACAAATAGACTTTTTTTTACTTTTTAAAGATTTTTATTTTATTTTTTTTAGGGAGAGAGCGTGTAAGTGGGGGAGAGGGGCAGAGGGAGAGCGAGAGTGAGAATCTTAAGGAAAGTATTAAGCAGGCTTCACACTCAGCACGGAGCCTGACTCGGGGCTCAATCCCAGGACCCTGGGACAATGACCTGAACAAAATCAAGAGGCAGATGCTCAAACAACTGAGTCACCCAGACACCCCAACAAATAAACTTTTAAATCTTATTTTGACTTGGGGCGCCTGGGTGGCTCAGTTGGTTGGGCGGCCAACTCTTAATTTCGGCTCATGTGATGATCTCACAGTTCGTGGGATTAAGCTGTGTGTCAGGCTTTGCACTAACAGTACTGGAGCCTGCTTTGGGTTCTCTCTCTCTCTCTCTCTCTCTCTCTCTCTCTCTCTCCAAATAAATAAATAAATGTTAAAAACAAATTTTTAATCTTATTGTGACTTACTGAAGATATTTTGAGATGAGTCTCTTGGTGTTTTAGATTTGTGTTATTTAAGTAGGCAACCGTTTAAAAAATTTTTTTTCAAATAAAACTATTTCAAAGCTTAAAAAAATATGTAACCCTTTTAACTGTAATTTTCCCATTTTTTTAACCTCTGGTATTTAAAGGAGGACAATATTATTGAAATAATGTCTAATAGGTACTCCTAAAGGAGCATATATTATGTAGATAATAGTTACTGTGATTTTGGAATTAATTATTCATTCCTGGTAAACCCGAAACACCAGCTCTCAGCTTATCTGTGTTGTAATTTTCACAATGTTTATAAACTACTAATTTTTGATTGCTATACATTGTGTGTTTATTATGCAATCTAGAAAGTTTATAAAATATCTTTTTATAGTTTTAATTTTATTATAATAATTTTGATATAAATGTAATATATAAACACATTAAATGTAAAAACAATTTTTTATATATATATATTTTTTCAATTCATATCCAAATTAGTTAGCATATAGTGCAACAATGATTTCAGGAGTAGATTCCTTAGTGCCCCTTACCCATTTAGCCCATCCCCCCCTCCCACAACCCCTCCTGTAACCCTCAGTCTGTTCTCCATATTTATGACTCTCTTCTGTTTTGTCCCCCTCCCTGTTTTTTATATTATTTTTGTTTCCCTTCCCTTATGTTCATCTGTTTCGTCTCTTAAAGTCCTCATATGAGTGGTGTCATATGACATTTGTCTTTCTCTAATTTCACATAGCATAATACCCTCCAGTTCCATCCACATAGTTGCAAATGGCAGGATTTCATTCTTTTTGACTGCTGAGTAATACTCCATTGTATATATATACCACATCTTTATCCATTCATCCATCAATGGACATTTGGACTCTTTCTATACTTTGGCTATTGTCGATAGTGCTGCTACAAACATAGGGGTGCGTGTGCCCCTTCGAAACAGCACACCTGTATCCCTTGGATATATACCTAGTAGTGCAATTGCTGGGTCGTAGGGCAGTTCTATTTTTAGTTTTTTGAGGAACCTCCATACTGTTTTCCAGAGTGGCTGCACCAGCTTGCATTGCCACCAACAATGCAAAAGAGATCCTCTTTCTCTGCATCCTCGCAACATCTGTTGTTGCCTAAGTTGTTAATGTTAGCCATTCTGACGGGTGAGGTATCTCAGTGTGGTTTTGATTTGTATTTCCCTGATGATGAGTGATGTTGAGCATTTCTTCATGTGTCTGTTAGCCATATAGATGTCTTCTTTGGAGAAGTGTCTATTTATGTCTTTTGCCCTTTTCTTCACTGGATTATTTGTTTTCTGGGTGTTGAGTTTGATAAGTTCTTTATAGATTATGGATACTAACCCTTTATCTGGTATGTTGTTTGCAAATATCTTCTCCCATTCTGTCGGTTGCCTTTTAGTTTTGCTGATTGTTTCCTTCGCTGTGCAGAAGCTTTTTATTTTGATGAGGTCCCAAATGTAAAAATTTTTAAAACACAAATAAAAAAAAAAGGAAAATGATCTGTATACTTACTATCCAGAGATATCGTCTTTAAAATTTTGATGTGTTTCCTTTTATTCTGCTTTTTATGTGTATGAATACTTACTTTGCAAAAATGGATTGTACTGGATATGCTATTTTTAAACTACTGTTTTTTTCTCACTTTATGGTAGATTGTGAAACTTTTCTCAGTCGTTTATATTTTCATACCATATAATTTTTAAGGGCTATAGTTATAAATGATCCTGTTGTGTATATGTATCATAACAATTTAGTCAATTATTTATCATAAAACATTTGCATTCCAATTTTTCTCTGTTATTAAGTATTGTAGCTTAGAGCACTCATTCATACATTTTGAAACTTTTAACAAAAAAAGATCACAGATACACTAGAGACATATATAAAGACTGATTTAATTATCAAGAAATTGATGTGGTCAAAATTACAGAGGTAAGAAGTGAGAAATCTATTTTATCTTGGATTCTTTTTCTACCACAGCAGACATTGGTTCACTTTAGCCAGACTTCCTATTCACTGAGAAGTTGAAATTTGACCAAAAGGCCTTGAATTTCTTAATGTTGAGGTTTTATTAAGCAGAGTGTACATTTTTTAAGTCAGAGGGGTAAAGCAACGGACAGCCATAACGTTTGTTTCTATAAGACAGAAGTAAATGATTGTACTGTTAATGAAATATTTAAATGTCACTATTAGTATAGCTAAGCTGATTTACAGCCTTAGTATCAATTGAATTCTCCAGGTGATTTATGTTTAATATGTCTCCAATAGGTTCATTTCAGCCAACAAATGAAATGATGCTCAAATTCTATAGCTTCTATAAGCAGGCAACTGAAGGACCCTGTAAACTGTCGAGGCCTGGATTCTGGGATCCTATTGGAAGATATAAATGGTAATTTTATATAGAGAGCTCTGAAAGGAATTTTATTTTAATGACATAATTATCATATGACTTATTTATGTGGTTATGTGTTACTCTGTGCATAAGGTGTTCTAACATACTGGATCCAATTTTTATCCTCCATGTGCTTTTAATACAATTTCATACAAATAGAGAAGTCTCAGGGAAGAGAGGAAAACAATAAAACCCAAAGGGGTAGGTGCATCAAAAATCATTTTCAGTTAGTCTTTCCTTTTATGGAATTTTTTTCATTTTCTTATACCAAGAGCAACTCCCAAACTCAGTTAAGCAAACAAACAAATAAACTCTCCTGCCTGTTTTACCTGCGGGGAAAAGTAATGACTTTTACTTGTCAAATGACACTGTTTGCTTTGAACCTTTAGATGATTCCTAAGTAACTAGGAACATAACTCAGGTACTACTGTGCTAACTTTTTATCTAAGCTGTCACTCCTTCCCACTGTACTTGAATAGAAATTTGATTTTTTTTTGAAATTTGATTTTTAATATACTTTAAAAAGTTATATCCATAGCTACCTCTGTAACATAGAAAGTACGTTATGAACAGAGTATGCTAATTGGTGAAGCATGTCTTAAGAGCCACACATTTTGATGGCTGAATTTCTTTACCCTGAATTGAAAGTCCTTAAACTCCTTTGAGGATTTGTTAGCACTATAGTTTCCTCTAAGTTCTTTATGAATGGTCATAGATAATAGGTTAAATGTAATAGCAATATGGTATTTAATCTGTTTTAAGAAAATTGATTTATTTACTTTATAATTTTTCCTCAGAATTGACCATTGGTAGATATCAACTGCTTCTGGAAAAAATACATAAAAAGAAAGGTTTTCATTTTAGGCAAAAATTTCAAAGGTCTACAGTAAAACCATGGTTTGCGAGCATGATTTGTCCTAGAAGCATGCTTATAATCCAGAGCATTTGTATATCAAAGCAAATTTCAAGAACCATTGGCTTAGTTGCAATCATGTGACTTTGGCATCACGTGCTATTCATATTGCAAGACATCGCCCGTTTATCAAGTTAAAATTTATTAGAAATGTTTGCTCATCGGGGCACCTGGGTGGCTCAGTTGGTTGGGTGTCCGACTTCAGCTGAGGTCATGACCTCATGGTTCACGGGTTTGAGCCCCGCGTTGGACTCTGTGCTGACAGCTCAGAGCCTGGAGTGTGCTTTGTGGATTCTGTCTCCCTCTCTTTCTGCCCCTGCCCACCTCATGCTCTGTTCCTCTCTCTCTCAAAAATAAATAAAACATTAAAAAAAAAAAAGTTTGCTCATCTTGCGGATGAGCAAGTTACTCGCACTCCAAGTTTTACTGTATTGTCTGTGGGTTTAAAAATTGCCTGTACTTCACATTTTTGTTTTTTTAGAAGTAGGAAACCATTTCTATTTTTTGAGTGTATACATTAGATTCTTATTTAAAGTAATGGAAATTTTAAACTCAAACTCCTGTTCTTTTAAAACATGGCTGTGATAGTTCATTTCATATAGTCTTCTAAAATGTTCCTTTCTGTCATTGCTGTTTATAATATAAAACTTTTGAAGAGTTCTTAGCAAATATTTATCAATAGTCTATAGTATCTGCTCCATAGTGATATAATATAGTTTATATAGTTTATAATCTATAGATGGGCTATTACTACTTTTAAATACTATTTAATTTGACAGTTTATTTCCTCTGATAGTGTTCTTTAAGGTGGTACATTTAAAGAGATCCTTTGGAAACATATTATCTTTGCGTAGGCTTTAAGTAGAGAGCCTGTTTTAAATTAATAACCATATAGCATTGACTACAAATTGTATTCTGAGCAATTGGAAAACAGGTATTTTTTTGTTATTTGAATATTTCCATTTCTAGGGATGCTTGGAGTTCACTGGGTGATATGACCAAAGAGGAAGCCATGATTGCATATGTTGAAGAAATGAAAAAGGTAGGGGAAATAATTCCCAGTAGAAAATATTCAGAGCAGGTCTAATTTAATTTTGTTATCAGGCAAATTAGCTGCTTTAAGGAACAAGGAGATTATAATATGTTAGAATACAAAACCTAAGTTATTGAATTATTAGGGTTTTATCTGTCTCATCAGAGTTCATCTTTTTTTTTTTTAATGTTTATTTTTGAGAGAGAAAGACACAAAGTGCAAGTGGGGGAGGGGCAGAGAGAGGGAGACAGAATCAGGCCCCAGGCTCTGAGCTGTCAGCACAGAGCCCAACATGGGGCTCAAACCTACAGACAGTGAGATCATGATCTGGGCTGAAGTCAGACGCTTAACTGACTGAGCCACCAAGGCTCCCCTCATCAAAGTTCATCTTAAGGTAAGTGTTTTTTCCTTAAGATCACATGGTGATGTGATTTTTTTTTTTTTCATCTTCCCTGCCTTTCTCCATAGTCAGCTTCTTCAGAAAGTATAGAAATAGGAGTCTTTTAAAATACTGAAGTCCCTTCCTTAAGAATGTGGGAAGTACCGGGGCGCCTGGGTGGCGCAGTCGGTTAAGCGTCCGACTTCAGCCAGGTCACGATCTCGCGGTCCGTGAGTTCGAGCCCCGCGTCAGGCTCTGGGCTGATGGCTCAGAGCCTGGAGCCTGTTTCCGATTCTGTGTCTCCCTCTCTCTCTGCCCCTCCCCCGTTCATGCTCTGTCTCTCTCTGTCCCAAAAATAAATAAACGTTGAAAAAAAAAAATTAAAAAAAAAAAAAAGAATGTGGGAAGTACCTGGGCTGTCTTGAAAGCATTTCTGCTTTGGAACTTTTTATTTAGAAGAAATAGTTAACAGCCCTGCCCATCAGTGTTCTCATCAAGTTTTGACTCACAAATTGAGATATTCCCAACCCTGGACTTCTTAGTAGCAAGCATTTTTTCTGTGAATGCAGAGGTCCTTCAGAACCAGAATAAGATAAGGATGCTTTTAATTTTTCTGGTAATTAGTAAGGAGGGCATCCCTTGCTAACTTTAAAGTCTGTTTCAAGGGATTGTTTTGAGAAGTAAATTTATGAGGAAATCATGGATTTTAAAGGTAATCGTAGTGTCTTTATAAAGGATCATTTTTATGTTGAAACTGGATCAGAAGTTGTGAGATTTAGGTCTGTTTGATAATTTTATTTATTTTTTTTTATTTTATTTTTTTATTTTTTTTAACGTTTATTTATTTTTGAGACAGAGAGAGACAGAGCATGAACGGGGGAGGGTCACAGAGAGGGAGACACAGAATCCGAAACAGGCTCCAAGCTCTGAGCCGTCAGCACAGAGCCCGACGCGGGGCTCGAACTCATGGACCGTGAGATCATGACCTGAGCCGAACTCGGACGCTTAACCGAGTGAGCCACCCAGGCGCCCCTGTTTGATAATTTTAAATAAATTGTCTGTAAACATAAAGAAAATATTTAAAAAGGAATAGTTCTTTTGCCAGATGATTCAACAGTGTTAGTTCCTGTTTGGTCAATTCAGACTCATTTGTTTTATTTTGTTTTAATCTCTTTCATACTACTCAAAGCTGTGCACTTTGTTACATTTTCATAATTTTTATTCAGTGGACTTGGTTTATCTATAACAGAAGGCAGAGTTTAGTCCTTTTGGCTGTTAACCTTATCAGTAATACAACAACGAAGCCTTTCAAAAGCAGAAAGACAAAGAAAATCTAAAGCCTTTTTGGTTTGGTAACCATTCCTTTTCTTTATTTTAAATATTACAATTTTAAGGACACACTTCTATAATGTAAAGTTGAATTGACACATTAGGTAAAATTTACCCATTTTTCCTGTCCAGTTTGATTAATTAATGATGTAGCCACAGTTTAAAGTGGGAGGGAGATGGATTTAAACTATACTGCTGCCTTTTAACTGTCTTAAGATACTTCCACTGTGCCTGTAGATTTCTGTGACTACTTCTCTAATTAAAATAATATACCAGCTATTTCCTTTCAGACTTTTAAAATTTCATTTTTCATACTGTGAATATAATAAAGTTTATAGTAAACCTTTAGAGGTAAATCTGAAAATGTTAGGATACCCATTGGTTGAAAATTCGATTAGTCTTTTAAAGTATTTCCAGAGTTTTGCTTTGTGGACATCATTAGATAAAATTGCATCTTCTAAATAATGATGTGGGAAGGCGGGTGCCTGGCTGGTGCAGTCAGTAGAGCATCCAACTCTTGATCTGAAGGTTGTGAGTTCTATCTTCATGTTGGGTATAGAGATGACTTAAAATATAATAATGGTGTGGGATAGTACATTATCCCAAAAATTTGATTACTGAATTTGGCACTTTTTTTAATTGCAATAGTTTTCTAACTGAAGCAGTTGTTAGATTGTATTTATAAATACAGTTCACTGTATTATTGCTCTTCAGAGCTATTCTCCTGTACTGAGCTGTCAGCACAGAGCCTGAGGCAGGGCTCAAACCTGCGAACCATGAGATCGTAACTTGAGCCAAAGTCCGACGCTCAACCGACTGAGCCACCAGGCACCCCAAGAGAGAATGAATCTTAAGCAGGCTCTACGCTCAGTGTGGAGCCCGACATGGGGCTTGATCCCACAACGCTGGGATCGTAATCTGAGCCAAATCAGGAGTCAGACACTTAACCTATCAGGCCACACAGGCACCCCTAGAATTATTCTTTTAGTATAAATCTCATTCCATGCCTTTGCATTCAAATGTTAATGAACCTCATTAATTTAATTTATATCTTATAATAGATAATATTTTATGGAAAATTTTTGTAATTTATAAACTGGCCAGTGAAATATCATTGAAAAAGTTGCTGGAATCAAAAATTCTTTTTTTTTCTTAATTGTGTAAATGTTCATTTATTTTTGAGAGAGGGAGAGACAGAGCATGAGCAAGGTAGGGGCAGAGAGAGAGAGAGAGACAGAATCCAAAGCAGGCTCCAGGCTCTGAGCTGTCAGTGCAGAGCCCGACCTTGGTCTCAAACTCACGAACTGTGAGATCACGACCTGAACTGAAGTACGATGCTTAACCAACTGAGCCATCCAGGTGCCCCTTTTTTCTTTTTTTTTTTTTT